AGAGGACTCTGTGCATCACTCTGCGCCTCCAGCCGTCGCGTCCTCCGGACCGGCAGCGCCGTGAGCATCTCCCGCAGGAAGTCCCAGGTGGCGCCGCCATTCTCCACGCCCGCCGCGAGCAGCACCACGGTGAAGCCTCCCCCGCCCCGCCCCGCCGCCCCACCAGCCTCGCAGCGATCACCACCCAACACGACCTCCGCCCCCGCACCTGCCGGCGGCGTCCCGCCGGCCGCTGCGCCGAGCCCTGCAGCGCCAAGCACTGCAGCGCCGGGCCCTGCAGCAAGTCCAGCGGCTGGCCCAGCCCCCGCAGCAAGCCCGGGACCAGCCGGAGCGGAAGTGGCCCTTGCCCTCGGAGGCCTACTTGAGATTGGCCGAGATTAGCCGAGATTGGGCGAGATCGCCCACGACGCGGGCACTCAGAGGCCTCGGCACGGGCGGAGACGCCACCGCCTCCGCCACCGCCTCTGCCGCTGCCTCCGCCGCCACCTCCGCCGCCTCTTCCGCCGCTGCCTCTGCCGCTGCCTCTCCCGCTGCTTCTGCCGCTGCCTTTGCCGCTGCCTCCGCCGCTCCGGCCTCCGCACACGCCGCCCCCTCGGCCGCCTCTGCCTCTGCCGCTTCAGCCGCGGCGCCAAGGTGCGTGGCCGCCTTGCGTAGCCAAACAGGAGTCGTCTCTTCAAATGTCAGCGGCGGCGGCGGGGCGGCGGCGACGGCGGCGGTGGTGGCGATGGTGGCGGCGTTGGCGGCGTTGGCGGCGTTGGCGGCGTTGGCGGCGGTGGCGGCGGTGGCGGCGTTGGCGGCGGTGGCGGCGTTGGCGGCGGTGGCGGGTCCAGAGACGCGGTCGAGCAATCGGACGAGGTAGAGGAGGAGGCGGCGGCGTGAGGCTGCGCTCTCGCACCACTGGTGCACGCGCGACCCGACGAGCACCACCGCAGGCCTGCCCGCCTTGTCTGGGCCGGAGAGGTACGCCACGCCCGCCTGCTCAGAGACCCTGCTCAGAGACTCGACCGGAGTCAGCTTCACTCACTCCGGGCCGAGGGGTGCGCCTACGCCAGCTGGCCACACGGGTCACGGACGCGTCTCGCGAGCGCCTCCGGGAGTGCCTCGGGAGTGCCTCCGGGAGTGCCTCGGGAGTGCCTCGGGAGTGCCTCGGGAGTGCACCGGGAGTGCACCGGGAGCCCCTCCCCGGAAGTCTCTCGGGGAGTGTCTCGGCGGCGCTCACCCTGTCCAGGGGCGCGAGCTCCTCCGCCGCGTCGGCGGCCCCCCGCAGCAGCGCCGCGTAGAGCCGCTCCGCACGCGCCTCGCCCTCGTCCCCCATCGCATCCCTCCGGAAGGCGAGAGGCCCCTCGGCGCGCTCCTCCTCCTCCCCTCGCCCCGCCGCTGCCGGTCGCCTCGCTGGCGCCGCGCCTTGCCCGCCAGCCGCCGGCGCAGCAGCCACCACCGCCCGCCGGGTCGGAGGCGGCACGCCTGCCGCGCCGGCACCCGCGGCGGCGGCGCCGGTGGCGGCGGCGGCGGCGAGCGCGTCTCTGCCGGAAGAGCGCTGCCCCGCCCTCTCCGTATCCCTCTCCCTCCCCCTCTCCCTCCCCTCCTCCACAGAGGCCGCCACATCCGACGCCGCAGCCGCGGCGATGCCGGCGGCGGCCGCAGCGGCCTTCTTGGCTGCCGCCGCCACCGCCGCCTTCGTCACGAAGCCGCCCGGAGGCTTGCGCGGCGCCGGCTTGCCGTAGGTGCCTCGCTCGAGCATCACGACCGGCGCTCCGGCGCGCGCGCGCAGCACGTCTGGCGGAGGCTGCCACGATGCAAAGGCTGCGTGCGCCGCGACCTCCGCCTTTTGGTTTCGCCGCCGCTCGGCCTCTGCCGCCTGCCTCTTCTCCGCGGCGCGCTTGATCCGCGCGGCGTGCACGATCGTGCCGGGCAGAGTGGGGCTCTCGCTCCGCTCGGCGCCGTCGGGTGGTGCGGCCGCGCCGGCTGTAGACGAGGCTGGCGCAGCCGCGTCGTCGTCAGCTGTCACCAGCAAAGAGGCAGC